TTTTGTGTCTCTTTGGTATTTTTGTGTCTCTTTGTGGTGGTTTTGTCTCTCTATGTGGTGTTTTTGTGTCTCTTTGTGGTGGTTTTGTGTCTCTTTGTGGTACTTTTGTCTATACCACAGAGCCGCACGTCGACTCTCTTTATAATCCTCCTGCACCAACATCCTCAATGCTAAAGATCAGAAACGCACAACTAAACACAAAGCATGCAATTATCTCCGGTTGGTTAGCCAATAATAACTCTCTCTTCTGACGGCAGCAAGATTTTTTCTGTATGTGGACAGTTTGAGCTGCTGGACACAGTCGCCGCTGCCGTGATTGGCATGAAAACAATTATTTCTGCCGCGTTAAATACATCGCGCAACCGTCTTCTTTGATTAAATCGGAAAAATAACAGTAATTGTTGTGTCAGTGCAGAAGCTAATCTTCATCAGTGTTCACCCCGAGGCAGCTGATAATAACAGGGCTGATGGCGAGCATGAAAATCACGTTATATACAGTCATGTGGTGAAGCGCAGGGAGGCGGCTGTTTGATCCCACTGCTCACGGTTCCATATGGCGAAAACCCACTTTAATTGTGTTTTGTGGCTGTTGTAAAGATGGAGGTGTAAAATTAAAGCTGTTCAGACATAGAGACGTTTACTTTGGCCGTTCCTCGAGCACCCGTACAACTAGTTAGCCTCCCAGCTTTACAAACCAGCAGGAGTTTGATCTCAGTGCGACACACCAGCTCAATAAATGACTCAAAACTAGTCCAAAATCAATTGAAATGTGTTCAAAAGTAGTCAGAAGTTGTTCAAAATGACAAAAACAGATCCAAATTTAGTTTAAATTTTGTCCACAATGACTTAAAGCTTGTCTTAAATGGCTCAAATATATTAATATTCCTGAAAATGTGTCCAAAGTGACAAAAACTTGCCCACAACGAGATAGAAAGTGGTCCAAAATGACTCAGACAATGTCTGAGCTTCTAGTAAAGTTGGCTAAATGTTCCACAGTTGGCTGTAAAAGTGAACAGAAGAGTTTTCATGCACTGACAGCATCTGAGGAACTGAACGGCCAGTGGATGACTGGAGTTCCTGGTCCCCACAACAACAGGAGAATCTTTAGTGTTAGCATAAATTGTTGCTAAAGTGGCTAATGTTAGCTTTGATAGCAGTAGTAGTTGTAGCAGGAGTAGGAGTCGTATTAGCAGTAACGGCAATCGTAGTAGCAGTACCAGTTGAAGTAGCAGTTACTTGCATTTGTGGCAATTTCAGTGCAATAGGAAGATATTTAGCATTAGCAGGTTGTGTGCTAATGTGGCTAACTAACGTTGATGGTAGTCGTAGTAGCAGTAGTGGTTGTAGTTGCAGTTAGAAGCATTACTGACTTGCATTTGAGACGTCAGCAAATAGGAAAATTGTTACGTTAGCGGGTGGCTAACTTTAGCTTTGATGGTAGTCATACTAGCAGTAGTGGTTGTAGTACTAGGAGTAGTAACAGCAGTAGTTGTAGTAGCTGTAGTTGCAGAACTAGTAGTAGTAATGTCAGCACAACAATACATATATCCTTAGCGTTAGCAGGTTGTGTGCTAATGTGGCTGACTTTAACATTGATAGCAGTCATAGTAGCAGTAGTGGTTGTAGTAGTAGTAACACCAGTAGTTGCAGTTGCGGTAGCAGCAGGACTAGTAGCAGTAATGTCAGCACAATACATATATCCTTAGCGTTAGCAGGTTGTGTGCTAATGTGGCTAACGTTATTTGTGTGGGTAGGAGTTGTCGTCGTAGTAGTAGTTGCTGTTGTTAAGTTTGTACAATTAATTACTTATTAACATCCCTAGTTGAGATATTTCCCAATTAATACTTTGACTTATCTCTCTCCAGAAAGTTCTACAACTCTTAATACCAGAATTAAACGGTGAGAGGCTCCACCTGGTGGAACAACCAGGTACTACAGTTGGTCTACGATACATTTTCTGACATGTAGAGAATACAGGTTTTCTCCACCTTTTAGAACTCGTGGAACCACAGTACATCCAACCCTCTACCTACATTCAGACAGTGTTCTACCGGAGCGTCGCCACAAGGTTCCTGAACACCTGCAGAACATGAAGGAACCGATTGGAGGCAGAAATGCATTTTTTTTTTTTTTGTTCATGCATTGCAGAGATATTCAGCTGTCAAGCATATGCATTAGACTTTAATGCCTTCAATGTACTCCAAGTGTGTATTATGCAGGCAAACGGTGTGAAATTGGAACTCGGATATTAAATATTAAACGACTTGGATCGACTCGGGGCAAAAAAAAACTTGATTGAGGCTTCTCCGGTACGCAAACTTCTCCAGCAAAGCCGATTCTGATTCTGATAAATGTGATCAAATGTTGAACTTAACATCTTTTTCTCTCCTCTCTGCCTTCTAAATCTTTCATAAGTCTGCTCTGCTAGAAATCCAGCAGCGGTTCAATCTCAGGCCCTTATTTGACTTTTTCCACCAAACTTTTTAAGAAGAAAATGGAGTTTTCGCTCTTTTTTTCTTTTTTCTTTTGAACCCCTCGGGGACACGTCTAATGGGTTTCATCTTTTTGACTTCTGACACAAGTTGGAAGCGAGATTTCTGAATCTAATTAGAGGCCCATTCCCCCGCCAGTGCTCCCAGTGGCTCCAGATACGAGGAGATACTGGAGGGACGGACGAGTGACGGTTCGGTGAGCTTCTCATTCAGTCTGATGTCTGAGACCGAACCAGTCGCACACAGAGAAGCCTCGGGCCTCTGGCGAGAACACAGCGGCGTCTTCGTTTTTACTAATTACCCAGCTCCCTCCACTTATCTGTCACATTTCAGGACAACATTAAAAGTGCGAAGATTAAAAATAAGAGAGGGTTGTTAAAAGTCAGGCAGAACCGCGGATGTGCGAAAGCTCATTAAGGAGACGTGCTTTTAAAACCAGAATGATCTGTGCTCTGAACAAAACCTCCGCAAAGCGCACAGAGATCCCACCCAGTTACTAAAACACCAGCAGACGGAAACCAGCCGCTGAATACCAACCGGCTGGATGACCGCGAGATCAAAGGCTGCAGACAGAGCGGCTGGAAACACGTGAAGCCAGCCGGCGCTCCTGGAGGCTCTCGGTCTGGAGCTCACCTGAGTGAACGTCCAGGTGAGCTTCATGTGTTTGGTGGCGGCGTAGCTGCACTCCAGCAGCCTCGGCCGGCTGTTCACGTCCACCAGACACTTGTTGTCGTCGTCGTCGATGGTCGGGCTCAGGACGCCGAGGTGGAGCTGCTGGGAGCTGGTGTAGTAGACGTTCTGCTGGGGAACAGAGGAACAGGAAGGACTTTAGAACACGAAGAAAGAGATTCTGGAGCTGCTGGAAAATAAGCACCGAGTCCGCTGGTTCTGTATCTGCAGTGACTTTATGTAATGAAGCAGAGTTTTACCTTCAGACTGTGAATGTTTTAGAGTTTAATGGACTTTTTCCATCATTTCTGAGCCTTCATCAGTGCAGCAGATAGACACATGACATGTAGGAGGAAGAACACATCTGGGTTCTGGTAGAACCTGACACCAGATCAGTTCCACATCCATCCAGGTGTCCAGATTTTTTTTTCAGCACCATTTTTTTAAACCTATAATTGACAATTATTGAGTCATTTCAACAAGATTTTTTGTTATTCTAGAAAATTTCAGTGTCATTCTGAACACATTTTTAGTCAATCTGGATAATCTTTGAGTCATTCTGAACAAATTTGTAGTATTTTGGCTACATTTTTAGTCAATCTGGTCGATTTTTGGGTCATTCTGAACATATGTTCTGTCATTTTGGACAATTTCACATCCATCCAGGTGTCATGATCTAAACACTGAAGCTGTTTTTTGATAATTTTCTCCATAACCAGCTGGTAGCATCAGTATTATGGGATATCTCATAGTGGTAACAGACTGCAGCAGTTTAATGACATAGAGTCATAGAAACAATCGCTGGTACCCTGGATGTGGTTCTGGTTCTGATCATTCACCAGAGGAAACTTTACAAAGTGCATTCTGGGTAAACTTTCCAGGAGAGACAGGAAAGTGGGAGAAGAATGGGGTTAGGACCTGTGGAAAAGGGCCATGAGTGGGATTTGAACTCATGACCTCCGCCTCGGGGATTATAGCCCCTGTACACCGGATGCTAGCTGCGGGGGAGTCCGGGACTCCTGAGAGAAACACCTCCGTCTCGAATTAGACGTTCAGAGGGGCCACGCTGTCCAGTGGAGGCGCCCTGGGGTTGTTCTGCTGTCCAACTACTCGTCTATTGTTGATCCATTACAGCAATTAGCGGTTGGTCGCCCATTGGATATGAAAGATCAGGTGCAGTGGACACCTGAGGTCGAAGACGCTCAGACAGACATTGAGAACAACAGGTGTCCTTCAACCTCCAAATTACACCAAACCTTTTATCCAAATGGTGGAAAGTAAAGCAGGTAATATGAGTTCAGTGGAGATGGAAACTAAAGCGTCTGCATTGATTGTGTTGTTCCATAACCTCACAGTAAAGGTACCACACGCTGCTCCTACAAACCAAAGTACAGACGGTTACCATCCATTACCAGTCCCACATCATAATAGAGAGCTGTGCAGGTTTAAATCCAGCAACTCTCCTCCCTACTGCTGAGGACGGGCAGCCTCATGAATGTGTGGCAGCGGTAGAAGCAGCTGTTTCACCCAGACCGGGTCTGACTGATCCACCGCTGACCAGCTACAATAATAGGAAGTAACATCACACATGAAACTGGATTCTTGCTCATAACAACACGTCTGTGAGTCGTTCAGACCACAGCAACGTACTCTAAGACGGTTGTAGGTATCCTTAAATCTGCTTTGAATTCAACACAAAAGCAACCTGCTCTGTTGGAAAGGTCAACTTGTGCCGTTTCATTCGATATCTGCAGCAATAAACACATCAAGAGCAGCTGGATCTGAATTTGGATGCAGAGGTGAGATAAAATGCAAACCACATCTCTGCAGCTCCCCTTAATGAGCGTCTGATGCTATGTTGAGCATAAACACGTTTTTTTTTCTTCTCCTGATCAGGAGAGAAAATAAAATGAAACCTACTTGTGCAGGTTTCCATCATTAGCAGTTAGCCACAGGGACGACTGGAAGTGGGCTAACGCCTGAATGCTAATTGTATTCGTTCATTGCTTCACCTGCAACGTTTTCTGGGTCTCAAAACAACATTTTCACTTCTAATGTCGAGAGAAATAAACAAACCACCTGTAACGGATCTAATTAGGGGGAAGACGAAGGAGGTCAGAGGAAAAGCAGATCCCGAGGAAACTTTACATACCTGGAAAAGAAAAAAAAGAAAAAGATGCTAACGAATGCAAATGTTGGCCCAGTTTCGGAGCCTTGAAAGACGTCGGCTGAGGTAAATCAAACAAGCACCTCGAGCACGTTGGAAGATTCGGAACGTGAAGCGAAGCTTCTGACAGACGAGACAAAGAGACGGCGACAAACCGACGAGAAGGAAATCAGAGGGATCGAGGTCGAGCAAGAAGAGAAAGACGAGATCCAGACGGACGGAAAGTGTGTTTTAATCATCAGTCAGTCAGACTGTGTCTATAGAGGAAGAGAAGGATGAAAATGGAATAAAACAATGAAAACAATCCCAGAAATCATGTTTTAAATAAGAAAAAAGACTAAAACACAGAAATGAGGAAATGCCTGAATAACACATGCAAGGAGGAAACACCAGACGAGATAAAATGAATTAACACCTATTACTGATAGACAGATAGGTGAAAGGCAAAATATTAATAAAAATGAATGAAAAAAGGATTAGAAAATAAAAAACAATACATTGCATAGACCAAAAAATGCAAAAACAAAAAGGTGAAAAAACAGAGATATTAATGATAAAAACAACATTATAAAATAAGATGAAACAAAATTCTGATAAATGAATTAAAGGGCAAAAAAGAAGTCAAAATTTAGGAAAACAAAAAAGGAAAAAAATTTTTTTTTTAAATAATAATTTGAATAGACTAAAAATATGTAAACAAATGAATAAATACAGAAATCAATAATTAAATTGAGTACTAAGAAGAATAATAAAAAATAAATCCACTCAAACAATAAATGTGTTTATTTAATAATGTAAGAAAATAAGATAAGCTAAATTAATTTATTAAATTAAGTTAAATTAAATAAATTAAATTAAATATCATCTATTAAACATTGATATATAGAGAATAAAAAAATAAAATAATGAAAATAAAATAATGAAAAAATTAAATTCAGGTAAATAGACTAAAATATGTAAAAAGTGCATAAACAGAGAAATCAACAATTAAAATTGCATTTATGGAGATTATTGAATGAATATAATCCATCAAATCATTTAAAAGCCTGACTATAAAGGTAGGTGTTGAGTTTACTGTTGAAATACAACAATAGTGTGTGTGTGTGTGTGTGTGTGTGCATGACTGCAGTCAATCTGTGTTTCCGTCGGCGGCTTCGTTTCTCTGTATGTTCACTAATAGGAGTGATTAAAGCTGCATCCGCCCATAGATTGATGCGCTGCCTCCAACAGAGGGCTTACCGCCCGATCTGCTCGGCTGTCACGGCAACTTAAAAGCGCTAATGGCAGGATTAGCGCAGCGCTGCGTCGGACGGATAGCAATCTCTCCTGACAGATGTACGAATTAACCAGTGTGGACAGAAGAAAGCCTGTAAGCCGGCCGGATCCTCTGCTGCTTAATGTCGACCTGCAGCAGATAATGTTTCCATCCGAGGGAGCGTCTTTGTTCGATCGTGAAAAAAAGAATTTACCGTTTAGTGATTTAATCTGCAATTTCGGGTTCTATGTGACGGGAATCGAAGATGCAGCGATCAGCAGCAGCACGGGGGAGTTCTGTACCACAATACTGCAGCTGTGAGCAACGGCTTCCATCCATTTATAAACACCTCGTACATCATGGCAGTTCCCAACGACCCCTATAACTCCTAAGAACTTTCTATGATGGAGTCGATGAATCTCTTGAATCACAAAACGACAATCAGGTATTTTGGTTCTTTCACAGACAGAATCTGGGTCAAAAACATACACACAGTCACTTAAATGATCAGTTTTAGTTGTGTTAATCTAATTTTCTCAGCTTCATGACCTCTTATCTCAACTCAGAC